CCAGACCAGGACTTAGGGAGACCCTGTGTGGTGACAGTAAACAGCATGGGCTGTGGTTAGTTAATGCAGAAGCTAGAGGGACAAAGAATCAAAGGGCCTGCGTGACAAGCAGCCTGAGTCTTGCAGCTATGCTCATTGTAACTAGAGCAAGTAAAAAAATTACCTTCTTTTGCAGAAAAAAGAAGAATTTCCCAAGTAACTAATTAAAATCAAGTCCTGACTCATCCCCCTTCTCCCAGGAACATGACAGCCTGTTAGCCCCACTGCTTCCCTCCCAGTTAGGTTAGCCCTGCAGTAGAGATGCCCATCATCTTCTACAATGGAGGGTGCAGATGAATGGAAACCCAGGGAGATCTAGGGTGCAGCCTGCAGTTTGCATCCTCTATTACAGAGTTGGGACATGCCAAGTGTACAGGCCCCAGGGTATGATGTTCCATCTTGAGCCAGGCAACCAAGAAACAGAATCTAGGTATGTCTGCAAAGCACAACGTATGTGTATCATGGGTGAGATTTTGCAATGCCCACAGATGGAAAGGAAGATCAAAATGTATATTAATTAATTGCCCCATCTTTCTCTGCAAACTTAAAGCAGGGATTTTCTGAAACATTCAGCACATTCTACCATTGAGTTCAACAGGGGTTTTATCATTCACTTGCCACATTAACAGGAGCAGACTATGGCCAATGCTGAGTGCTTTGGAAAACCCCACTCTCCCCCGCCAGGCTGCACCTCTATTTTGAAGACAAGCATGGAAGCAGTCAGGATTTATGGAGCTGTAGTGAGGCCCCGATGAGATTGACCTGACTGGATTGGCACTAGAAGAGGTGCAAAATTGGCTAGAAAGAGAAGGCTGGACGCAGAGGAGTTAGTTCTAAAAATCTCATGAAAAGACAGACGATGGGGACATGTAAGTTTGTTGAGAAGGCCGTTCCAGCCCAAATCGGAGGCAGCACTGGAGTGTGTTGAGCATTTCAGATACCGGGTAGCATGACTACAAGAGATGTTCCACACCAGTTAGATAGACCTGGACTTGTGACTGCTGGTCTAGCAACACTAGCCACATTTGGAGGAGTAAAGGTATAACTGAATGTAAAATTCAATTCCTGCAATCTCTTGTCTTCAGCATCTTGCTACATGCACGAGAGACATGGACATTAAGGAAACAGGATATTCAGCGGCTTCTGCCTTTGAAGTGAAATGTTACAGGTGGTTGCAACACATGAGCTATATCTACCACACAACTAACGAGGACGTGATCAGCCTGATTTACCACCTAACCAGAGTGATACCCGATAGCGTCAAGATGATCAGACTAAGAAAACTTGAGTTTGTGCAAAATGTGAGTCAATGAGCAGAATGAAGATTGCTGAGGCAAGTCTTGCAGGGACTGATGCCAGGTACCAGGGGTAGAGGGCACCTGCAGCACAAGTGGTCCAGGTGGCAGTGTGATGCACTTCTTAAGGTGGTGTAAAGACAGAAATGGGGAAGATAGCAGGCCAAGGACTCCTGTGTGCTGTGTTTACAGTTCATTGTGATGCAGCTTGCCTTGCACTAGGAGAATAATAAATAAAATAGTAAGGGCGCTTGGGTTCCTGGTAATTTGCTTGCCCAGCCCTTAGCTGGGCAAAGTTGGAGTATCACCCTGCCTTTATGTAGTGAATATTCAGTGTTCAACAGATGTTTGTTTACCCATGAAAAACAGGTGAACACATTCTAGTGAGAAGAGAAACACTACCTCCTTTGTTCTTGAGTTGGCATGTCCCTAACCCTGGAAGAAGGTGAAGTCACCTCACGATGCCAGTCTGTCAGTCTAAGAAACCCTCTTCTGAAGTTTTCCTTCCTTATTTTTGTGAGGGGGATACTACTCCTGTCAAAATGGGACTTCTGCGAGCAGGCTCCTTCCCTCAGTTACGCTGATAAAGCACTGGACTTGCTCCGCATACATATCAGGGTAACTGACTACAGAATTTGGCTCTGCACCTTGAAGTCCTATGATTCATGTTATTACCTGGACAGATTCGGGTCCAGATTCTCAGCTAGTGGAGATTGGCAAAGCACCTTTAAATTATGCAGAGCTGAGGAGATGGCCCTTTTTTAGTATACAGCAGAACAGAATTTTAAAAAGTAGACTGGAAATCAGAGGAGGGGACACAGGGATCATCATCTGAATTGGTCTAAACCTGCAGGATCCATTCTTTGTGCTGAATTATATGGGAACTGGCACTGCAAATATTTACTCAAAATTAATATCATGTAGTCATCAACAGGAAGTCCCTGGGCCATTTCTTAAGGATCACCTTAATATTGTCTGCCTGAAAGAAGGTCCTGAGTGGGCATTACAGTAGCTGTAATGTTGTAAACAAATCTAATGGTTTGCTTTACTTCTCCTCTCAGCAGAACTCTTAATTATGCATCTTGCAAATGTGCTTTGAAAATGGATTAGATGCACCAGCTGTTTACTACCATGGCAGAGCCTTTTCCGAAGCATTTGTAGCAGCTCCCAAGTATTCTCCACGTTCCCTGCTCTGGCAGTGCAAGCATGTGATCGGGAAGGACCAGCTTTGGGTCAATGTGAAAATTAGCTTGGGTTTTGTAGACCAGACTAAAGGTATTTTGCTTGAATCAGTCACAGCTGTCTCTGCTCATAAGTAAGGAATTGGGACAATTTATGCAAGGTTGGTTTACTTTGTTGGGTATGTTGTTTTGCAGGAGGATGGTGGGAGAGAATACAGGAGAATTTAACAAACCAACCAACCAACACATTTAGAGAAATTTATCTCAAGCAATAGCGGACGTGAGTTGTGGCAGGGCAAGGGAGAGCAACCAGGCTGGGGATTTTGCAACGTGCATAGACGGGAAGGAAGAAGAGTCAAAAATCAAAGCATTGGCGTAACAGCAGAACACAGCATGCTTCCCCTCTTTCCCAATGCACAGAGGGCACTATAATAATTATAACTATAACTAATGCACCTTTCCTCCTTACTGTAACTGTGATTGTTGGATCACAGAAACCCCCTTGGGAGGTGCCAACCAATGTGACAAGACTACCCTTGTTCCTATTTTCCCTGCCAGCTCAGGACTCCAGCACCCTGTCTTGCTGAGCCAGACACTCCTGTCTGCTCCAGCAAAGACCCAGGGTCAGAATTACTTGCCCCAAAGCTGCAGGTTTACCTGAAAGCAGCTACCGAAGTGTTCCTGTTTAACACTCAGGTGCCCAACTCCCAATGGGGTCTAAACCCAAATAAATCCATTTTACCCTGGATAAAGCTTATGCAGGGTAAACTCAAATTGTTCCCTCTTTATAACAGATATGCACAGTTGTTTGCTCCCCCAGTATTAACATACTCTGAGTTAATTAATAAGTAAAAAGTGATTTTATTAAGTACAGAAAGTAGGATTTAAGTGATTCCAAGTAGTAACAAA